GAATAATTCAAACCAATAGGAAAAAAGCCCATGAAAACCATCCAATGTGTTTCAACTATTTGATGCAGTGCAAGAGGACAGAAAGATACCTCTTTGCAGGGAGATCCATCAGCCGCTAATCTCTCTAATAAAAGTAGGGCTGCAGAAAGCCTGTTCCTGCAGATCTCATGATGAAAATCTACATGTTCATCGGACAAACCTTCTTTGAAATGTACCTTCCACTTTGAATGAATTTTATGAGGGTGTGCTGGGAGGAGTCATGTTGTGGAGTAAGAAGGTTCTACCATGTTAAAGATGTCTATCAATAACAAAGTGTTCATACTTCGTTAAAGCACTTTTTATATTTATTTTTAAAAAATCCAGGCAACATTTGATGAGAGTTTTTAGAGGAATATCTATGCTCAGTGCGGCTTATTTGAGACCGAGAATGCTGAACTTATATAATTCCAGGTAAAATAATGGATAGTCAGAGGCCGGGATTATTACTACACTTCAGAGAAGACATGCAAAAAAAATGCTACCCAAGTGTTTAGTTAGGCAAGGAAATAACTGAAACCAGACTCATTATATGTAAACAAAAGTGGATTTTAAATAGATATGGCAACTGCCTTTGAATTTTTTTTTGCAACCTGACACATCACTGTTTCTGATTGCAGAATGGTTACAATTTTGAAATGTTAAAATCTTGTTCTTTTTATATTATTTTCTCGTAAAAATAAGGTCTATATTGTCTTCCGATGCTCCATTGCAAACTGACAGAAGTCTATTGAAGCTACTGAGTAAAATGTACCTTCTTTGGAATACGGTAGGAAAAACTTCCCAAGGGAAGTGGCTTAATAACGACAGCTGAATCGCAGCTTGCGCCAGTGCTAACTACAGCAAGTGGCTCCTCTGATTGAGATAAATTAATTTGAATATTGAAGTTGCTATGAAACTACATGTTGCAGTAGCAAAACATATTTGCTTAGATTAAGGCAGGAAGGGATGGCAAGGAAACTTAGATCTGACTTGTTTTCCACAAAGGCGTAATAAAAAAATCATTTAACTGGGTCTCCAGATGACTATTAAAAACAGCTAAAGCTACCTACAAAACTATGGTACTCGCTAGTACACTGAATGTGGAAAATAAACCCTGATCATGTGGTCTACTAGTGCCATCTATTGTGTACAGGGAAAAATACAGATACCGAATGTAGAAGTTGCCCATTTTGTCTTTAAAATGTGAGAAGTGCTCTTTCTGCATTACTGTACCAATTAGAAAACATAGCCAAAGCTCATAAAAATCACTTCTGCTTTTATAAAATACAGCAATTATTACCATTTATGTGTATTACAGCAACATGCAGAACTCTAACCACTGTCAGGCTTCATCATGCCAATATTGTTTGTGTACGCATGTATTCCATATGGGGACACACACACACGAATGCAGTGAAAGACAGACCCAGCTGTGATAGTTTTAGTCAAAGCTACAGAAATCTTATAAATTAAAACCTACTGCAACTTCCTAATGTTATGTCAGATTTCTCCCAAATAAAGGGACATTAGCTCATCTTCCAAGGAAATGAACATTACCCCTTCTTAAAATCCAAGCACCATGCTGCCTTTCGCCTTTTCTTGGAGGAGAACAGCGCTTCCATCTCTTTTCTTCCAGGGAGACTATTTGTAGTGGACATTGTAAACCACTAGGATCAGCTCACCATCCCCAAACACTCTGAAGTTTTCGAGCAGACCCTCCAAAACCTGAAGTCTTGTGATAATGTGGCATCAATATTGAGACCAAGACTCTGTATTTGCACAGCAGTTTAAAATACCAAGCTCTTGAATGTCTTTACAAACTTTATACTGAAACGTCCAAAATTTACAGATGTATGTTACCATAATCCCTCTCTAGTCTGCTTAAAACTTTTGCAACCAGTACTGCCGACAAATAATAAACCCCTTGCCATCAAAATCATTTTACTACTGTCAAACATACACTGCTGTCACAGATAAGGCAGAATGCACACAGAGCAGAGCAGAAATAAAAATTTAGAATACCTTATGAGAAAAAACAAAGCGGTGATATATGGCATTCGCTGGTTGAGCACACATGGGAGAGAAGAGCAGTGTGAGTAAGTGTCCTAAGACAAAGTGGGTTTTAGGCATTTTGAGTCGATTGAGTTCCATCCTTACATGATTTGGAAATCTGATAGAGACCACAGTGGTAGTATTTCATCAGTAGATCAAGCTGCACAACCTAGAAAAATGAGGCTTTGCACTTTTGGAAGGGGTAGAGAAATGATTTAGCATCATCACTAAAAATAACAATAAATGTCATGTGATTTACTGTAATTTAGGCAAAAGAAGTTTCTCAATCACTCACCATGGGCTGACAAATAGAAAACATCATGCAAAGAGAGTAGATGTTGAAAATATTTCTAGCATAGCTCCCAAGAAAAAATAGCTACTTCTTGTTGCTAAGAAATGTGAAAATACAGAAAAAAAAAAGAGCCTGTTGCAAAGCAACAAAAGTGTACTGTGACATTATGTGTACTAACCTGTAGAGATCACTTGGCTGTAAAAAATTAAACACCATTATTTAATGAGAGTCATCCATAGCTAAAATGGTACACCTTGCTAGAATAATTTTTTTTTCAATTGCTTGCAACTTGTCAGCTCATATTTCAACTAAAAAAATAATTACGATCTTGACTGAAATGCTGCCTGGAGCCAAAGAATAATCAAAATGTTTTCAATAGTTGTTCACTGCACGAATGAAAAGGTAATAATCCATTGTCTCTATCTGCATATTGATGTATGTCAATGTTTTTGGCCTAACAAACAAATTAAATGAAAGGCAAACTGTTGGTGATGCATACTTTCGGTCATGAATGTAACTCATATAAAAATGTATCATGATAAAGCTCAGAAAAATGGAAAGGATTTCATTTGTAGTTCCTCAGTACATTGATTTCAGCAGACAAGATTATCTTGATTCAGCCACTTTCTCTGAAAAAAAAAAATATTTTTTTTTTTCTTTAGGAGACTGTAAGCACTGCAAAGGTTGGCAGGCTGGCTCTGGTTCTTTTGAGGAGGACAGAGTACCAAGAGATTAAATAAGTGTGAACTTGTTTCAGGAGCCTTGTATTGGGATGATGATTTAATATTTTCTTAGTGTTCTCTCGCCTTGAAACTTGTGAAATTTGTTGTGGTGATTTCCTGCCTAAACCAGAACAATGCAAATAATTCTTCTACTGTTTAAGTGTACTTGAATTCACTGTAAAAACACACTAATACTAGTTAAGGCTGAACTTCAAGTTCACGTAATTTCTTTTTTCCATGTAAAGGGTTTAGTAAATTGATGAGCTGAAATCTGATACAGTTTGAAATAACAACTTTGAGCTCCTTATACTTTAAGAAAGCTAGGAATAAAAAGCAATAAAAGAACAATGCACAATGCACTAAGAAATACAGTCTTTTCTTAACATGGCCTTCAAAATAACAGGATGTTACTTTTTGTGGTTGGTATATATTTTCTTGTGACTATTTCTGATCTTCACTTGAAGGAATGTGTGCCCCTTGCAGGATATCTAATCAGCAAGACATAAGTCTTGCATTTAGTCAGCACTAGATTTGGTTTTTAACATGACTGTAACTATAAACCTCTGCAAGATAACCTGAATACTGTGGAAAGCAAATCTGCCTGTGAAAAACATTTTTACTATTTTTATTTGGAAAAACTTATAAAGAAAACATGGTCTCTTTAAGTTGTGAAAAAGCTGAATTTAATGCAGTTTAAAATACACATTAAAGGAAATATCAACAGATGACTAGTCTTAAAACATCACTCCCCAAAACAGACATTTGTTTTATCTCATGGAAAATCAGCAACTGAAAATCATCAATATTTCTGCATAAACTGTGACAGACCATGGCAAATGTAATCTTCAGAGAACTTGATTGACAGCCAAGTGGTTAATGCACTAAATGGAGGTAGTGAATCAGTCCACAAAAGACCCTTTTGCCTCCAGATACTTGTAACATCTGACTTCTCAATTAGTTCCTTTCCAAGTCTTTCATTAAAGAAGTAAGTTTATAGCAGCAAATATGCTATGTCTTCACTACAGAAGCTCTCCAGGATTTCTTTTTTCTTCAGTTTTATATGTATATAATACTCATACACACACAACTGAACACCAGACAACTAGTGGTGCCCCTTCTTGGTTTCCATTCACTCCCAATGACTTTTTGATGGCTCTCCATTCCATCATTGTAGGTTAAAACACAGGCTGGAAACCTTCTGCTTTCTATTAACCAAACGGCGGTAAGATTTCTCTTTAGTAGATTGTGCATAAATGTAAATTTACTTTCTGTTCCCACTTCAGTTTTAAGCTTCCTATGACTAGCAGTGCATAAAGGGGGCAAAGGGGTAGACTTTTACAACATACATTGCAGTGATGATTAGAAAACATTTTTCAAGCAATACAGTTTAAACTTCTCCTAGGATTTGTATTTGTATACAGCATCCACTATCAGAAACATGTAGCATAGTGTTGCCATCTACTAACTGCAAATTTCAAGTCTCGAAACAAAAATGCCCGCTTCCACTCACACTTTCCTCCACAGTCCTTGCAATTTAAGAGTCGGAATTCAGCCTTTGTGTTTTACATTGTCTTTAGACTTTCCTAACTATTTGCAAAATGTACTGTCTCAGGTTTAACACTAGTGTTACTAGTCAGACTATAACAAATGAAAAAGTATGGATATGTCCAAAAGGGAGGAGTTGAGGAAATCAAAACTCTTTGAATGACTTTCAAGTGCTTCTACAGATTGCTTCTATTACAGTATTTTTAATATATCGAACAGTATGAAAATTACAAAATACTGCAAAAAGGTAGCAAGAACATTCCTGTGAATTTTAAAATATTTTAGTGGATGTTGTTATAGATGTTGCAGAGTTAATGGCATGGGTTCTTTATACAACTTTATAAATCCCTGTCCCCCTGCAACATTTTCTGTAAGTAAAACAAAACCTAGAATATTCATATATATATAAAAAATATAATTTTTTCCACTATCAGGACTCTTCATGTATTTCTGTTGATATCCTTACAGAAACTCTCTAAAAGAAAAATAAAAGAAGATCAGCTTAGGATAAATTAATTTTACAGTTCTGTGATATAAAGTACAAGGAGATAAACCAAAAAAATGTATTTAAGTGAAATACATACTGTGAGAAATTAAAAAAAAAAAAAAAGCTTATTTTTCTTAGAGTTTGGTGGTTGTTTTTTCTGAATTAATATTTTGGCTTTCTGTGAGCACTGGTTACGACAAAAAGAGGAGAGAATCTAAAAAATCTTTCTGTTGTTGTCAAACACTAAGATTGGATTTCATGCTATTTTATAGCCTGTAATTTAAAATGTCTGCATTTCTATTTAGTTTAAAATTCCATCACTTTCTCTTATTTATTATGTTCACAATATTTTTATATATAGTTAAATTTTCAGTGTTGAACACTTTGGGACCTGTGATCTGAAGCAGACTTATCAAATAATTTAGCTACTCTGAGGACTACAGCATTGTCTGCAAATATGTATCTCCAAGGCAAGAGTTTCACTTTTGATAAAACAGATACCATCATATATGCAGATATCAGACAGTGATCGACAGGCAATAAGTACCTTCCCCCCCAAATGGTAAATTTAATGACGCATGCACTTCTGAATGGTACTTCAATATTTTTGTCAGTTTTAGAAGGCAATTATATGCCTTTGAGATAATGCATTATGTAACTTTGAACAACTACTTTTTTAAAAAAAGCATTTTGCTCTGCAGAACCCAGCTTTTTTTTTTTAATAAGGGAAGCCCTACAGCCATGGTCTATTCAGTACTATCAATCAAAAGTAAACAGGGATAGAAATGTTTGCTATCAGTCAGCAAAATATATGTTAACTCTGAATCCTTAGCTGAAAATTGATTTCTGTATATGTTATGAAAGTTATGTACAGATTATATATAAGTATTAACCACTTGCAAGCTGAGCAAGCATGTAAGTGAAAATGCAAGTAAATTAATTACATGATCTGATGTCAAATTTGGTTTTATGCCAGAAGACTTAGAGGGTTCTCACTATTCTTCCTCCCTTCCCACTTCCACGAATTCTGGATATCATTTCCAGCAATTTATCACAGCATCAGTTGGCTCACATATGTGATCTTGATTGTTAGTTCTACAGTTATGCAAGTGCTTGGATCTGTTTTTTGACTTTCTAGGACTTGTGTGAGGCAATGGTACATATGAAAGACTTATATATGGGGTATGACATCTACAGTGATTACAACTGAGTTCATCTTTGTAAATATGGTACAAAACAACAGTTCTCAGTCTTTTTTACCTTAAGCTCTCTACTCCAGTCTTACAAATATCCCACTACTTTACGGTGAAAATAAACATACAGAGGTCTGAGAAGGGTAAGGAGGCCATGATCCTTCTAACACCTACAGTAATACCCAGGAGGTTTTGCCCTCAAATCTCCACAAGGCACTTGCCATGAGCAATGTGTTTTGTTTTTTTTTTTACAAGTTCTTTTGCCAAAGTTAAGCCTCACACATTGGTATTTTCAACATTTTACAGCCCTGTACTGAACAAAAACCCCATGAAACACTGCAGCTAGAGCATGCTGTGTAAACAAGAGTTGGTGAGGCAAAGCTTGGGAAAGTAAGTTCAAGGCATGCCTTTCACACTTCATATAAAAGTGTTCTCTTTTTAACTAATCTAATATATTCTCTTCCTTAAAGTCAGGCTTGAAGCATCACCAGATCCAGCTACCCAAACCAGAAGGTTTTCATGTCAATCCTTTTCAAAAAGTATTTGATATTCTTCACATTGTGAGAGAACATATATCAAAATTGTAACTTTTAAAAAGAAAGGAAACATCTATGGTTGAAATGCATTGGATTATTATATAAAATCCCTCAGGTAGAAAGAAATGCAGGTTTAGTTGCATCATTTATTTTGGTATTATGTCACTTTTAGAGTGCCTCTTTCTACAAAACGATTGGTAAATAAGTAGAAGATATTAATTTACTGAATAATTTTCAAGACCAGACACCTATTAAACTGATTTATAAAACTGATTTTTATATTTTAAAAGGCAGGGGAAAAATATTCATTAGGTAGACAGAAATCAGTTCTGTGACTGATAAAATTTGTTTCTGTTTAGCTTTGGTTTATCTAGCTGAGATAAAGAATGGTAATTTTCTATTGCATTGGTTGTTATACAATTCATAGCACTTCTTACTCACTGCTAAAATATGTAGATACCAACCTGAAAATCTCTAATGAACGTTAAAAAGAAGAAGATAAAACCAAAGGCCACGGTCCATTCACAGATCGCACTCAAAACATGGTAAGTATAATCCTGATGAAATGAGACATAAAATGAATTTTCAGATAAAACAGCTAAACAAAATAACTGTGGAATGCTATAATAATAGACATTTCCTTCTGTAAATTCAACAAATATTCTAAGACTTATGACTCATCATCCCAATACCCTATTGACTAAAAATCAATTCAGATTTAGTTTTTACAGAATGGTAAGTATATTTATCAAGGTTGCATATGTTCCATTAAGCAACATGTCTTGTGCACTAACACAAAAAATAGTAGAAGAAAACTACAATTAGCTCAAGATCAAAACACAGCTTGAATATAATTTGCACCTGAAAAAAATGTAGTTCTCATGTGAAGGATACCAAAGTGCCCATATTCAAAACTTTACTTAGAGCCACTGAGTTCAGTAGTACTATCCCTTACTGTAAATTCTCACCATGTTTTAAAATGGAGGGCTATCCTTGTATGACAGTACCTGAGAGGACCTTTGTTTTTGAGTAGACCATCACAGAAAACCTATGTAATATGACACAAACAGAACGTAAGGCGTTTCTTAACATGCCATCAACAAATATGCCATCTGTTTCAGTAAAACCATTTTCTCATCCTTGCATCTCAAGCTAAAAAAAAACCCTCAAGAGGTAGATATTACTAAGATTATCTAACTTGTGAAGATTTATCTCACAGCTGCCTTGCCACTGTTTGGCTGAAGTACATTTGCCAAGTTTGCTTTTATTGAGCTCTTCAAGCAGGATACACTCTCTGCATTATTTAACCTGCTTTTTTAACACCTCCGTGTGGCAAAGTTTGTCCAAACAGAAAACTTACCTTTCATAGTTATCATTCTGAGAACACTGAAATAAATTCAAATACTTGATATTGACTTTAGTATGATTCAGCTCAGACAGACAATGTTTATCACAATAGTAAAGACTAATAAAGAATGGTGAAAAAGCTGAGAAAACCAATGTTGTAAAAAAACTCAAAACTTCAGAATCAAATTGGTTCACTTCCGTTTTACGTGTGAAGTTCATTTTCAAGCAATGTGACTATAAAAGGAAGTAGAATAACTCACTTCCAGAATATCTTTTTTTTATTTTTTTAACAATTTGTTCTATGTGTAAGTTTCAAATGCTTGGTTAAGATGAAAGTCTAACTCTCTGAAGATTGACCCATCCATGACAAGTTTTCTTACCCTAGCCACAGATGGTTTTCTAATGAAGAAATAACTGGAAACCAGCACTGCACAAATCAATGAGATTTCACAGTTCTGTTCATGATAATGTACTGTTTAAAGTCTCTGAAATGTTTGTAGTGCTATACACTTTTAGATAAACATAACAGCATACCCCAGATGATATGATACAGGGTAAACTGGCTACCTAATGAGATTTTACCTTTTCACCTGGAGTCCAATCAATCTTTGTCATGGATATTTTTGAAGCAAACACAATCACTGGGAAAAACACAGTGTAAAGGAAACTATAAAATTTAGTGAGTAATAGTGAAAATGTCTGCTTACAAAAAAAGACCCCATCTCCCCCTTGTGTAACACAGGAGGTCCTGAACAACCACAATATCAAATCAAAGTATTAAGAAGACAAGTAAATGAAACATATTATTGAAGGGTAACTGATAGCAGCAATCAAAACAATTTCTGCATAAATAAAGGTTTCTGCGGGTTCTTCTGAAGTACAGAGGGTAAGGGGAGACACTCCAAAACTTAGATCACATTCATGATTGAGAACTGTGGGAGCAGAGGCCTGCAATGTTGGAAGGGGAACCATGCTGGTTTCCACCGGTCCACAACAGGTGCCTTGATACATCTGTACAACCTTCTTTCAGGACTGGGGCCCTCTTTAAAAGCCCTTTCACAGCTGCTGAAACCAAAAGCAGGCTGTAGCTGGCTGGCTGATGTGATGATCTGCTGCGACCACTTTTCAACACTGGCACATCACCTAAAGACCAATAAAATCAATGGGTTGACTCTAACTTCAGCAGGCTGTGGGAAAAGCCAGTGAGTGTGTTAAGTGTGTCTCTAGGGAAGGCATATAATGAAGCCAAGCGCCAACCGACATGATCAAAAGCAATGGCTTAGGCTTGAAGGAAGCCTTGTGTATGCCAACTGTATTTTATATGTCCGTATGTTAGGTTCATTTTAGAAGTGGTGCCCCCCTTCTGCAGACCATTCTCTATACCCTCCTTCAAATGAAGGAGGTTGGAAAATTGGTCTAGCTTTATTATCATATGATCTTATGAAGAACTCTGGGGCATTAGATTTAAATATACCACTGAAAGAAGAGATACAGCTTTTTAGAAGACCCTGAAATTCATCTTTATGCTATTAATAGTGTCTCAACATGCTATATGCATTATTATAGCAGAAATATTAGAGAGCCCTAAGCAAAGATTGTAACCTCATTTTCATCCTTTATCAGCAATAATATCGGTTTAACTTAAAAGGAAAAACATGAAGGCAGAAAGGGAAAACCGTGGGACACACCATAAAGGATACTAGGAATGAAAGCAATGCATGATATTACAGATATGGCCATCCTTATGTGACACACAAAGTATGTGTTCCATTGTGGACAGGACTTGTAAGAGATTATGGACTGAAGTGTAATGTATACAACACCCGAGCCAAATGCTACCAAAGCTCCTATGTCATGGACACTGGGCACAGACAGCTCCTGGAAAGAGAATCAGCACAATGGTTAGCTGCTACAATTTGAAGAGTGGTAAGAATCAATGAGCCCTGAGAAGATGGTAGCCGCATTATGCGGGGCATGTACAAGCAGTGGGAAACAGTCCCTTCTCCCAACAGTCTACACAGGGAAGATGAAAGAAAATAAAGAGTAGCTCAGAAAGGTAAGCTAACCATGTCCAAAGCCACCAGGTCAAAGTCCTTTCCCATATTCACATAAAAACATAGATCAATTTTAGTGCTGTTCAACAGTTGGTCTATTACCAATTAACGTTTCCACAAACAGAAACTGGCTCATGTTTTTCTTAAAAGGTTCTTATACCTCTTTTTTCCCTTTACCCTGCCAAATATTTTCATCCTTTTGCACTGAAAGTCTAACCTGCATTTGTGTGACCATACTCTAACAGTAAAGTTTCACTGGAGCTGTTCTAAATAGCGACTGCTATAGCTCCATCCCCCACCCTCCAGTGGCCAGCCATAATGCTCCAGGAAATAAGTCAGCAGAAAATTAGTTATATATTAAAAAAAAAAAAATGTTGCCTAAAATAAACTCTTGATATGAAGGCCTTACACTGTCAGTCTCTTGAATTATTCAGCCCTCTTACTCTTCCCCACATCATCAGCCAGTTTTATTCAAGTTCCGCAACAGGTGAAAGTGTGTTTAAAATTCCAGTATCACTACATATGGCCTATATTTTTTTAATACCCTACCTATGGAAGATTCTTTCCTTTAAAACACAAACAAGTAGAATATCCAGTAACAAAACAGATGAAGATTCCAGAGAAATTATTGTATTCTAAATGTTTCAAAAAATTACAAATACAAAGTTACACCACCTTGGACTCCAATATCAGACACATAAGTTAGCTTTAAAGCTCCTTTCTGTCACCAGAGCATAGCAAAACATGTGCTGTGATCTGACCTATACAGTTCTATTTTAGTGATTCATGAAAACAAATCTATATCCTTTCATTACATATTTTAACATCCTTCCTGCCTGGAGGCCACTGTTTTCTTTGTCTTGTAGTGGTGATTATGTTCACATGCTCTTTTAAATTCTTTTTCTCCATGCTTTTCTTTCTACTTATTCCCTTCTATCTCTGTGACACATTAAGTTTTGTCAGATTTTAAAGCATGTTCCTCACACAGGTATTTAAGTGCCATCTCACCTATACTTGCATTTTCTTCTCCTCTGTCCCACTTTTTGCCTTCCATATAGGAATGACAGAATTTGGTATGGAAAGCATTAAGCAAGCCTAACTGTTGACTTTTGCGTTTAGCCCCATACACAATATACACAGCTTTTCTAACATGGCTCTCATGATTGCTCCTATGGAACTGCCACAGCTTCCCTAAAAAGCCCGTCACACTCAACCCCTACAGAACCTGGGAAATGTTGCTACATTTGCTAAGGTAAGCCTCCTAAGCTTCCTAGTCAAAGCCAGGAAGATCGCTCTTTAATCATGTGTAACATTTAACAGGCAAAAATATACCTGCTAACACTTAGGGTTTCACTTTGCCTTATTCATTAAGGGCTACAGGATTTTTCCTTCCATATCCAATTATCTTCTTAAAGCTAGTCCTTCACTGTCTTTCATTTCTGTATTTCAAGCATTGTGTTATTTAAAACAAAGAACAAACACCTTATTCATGACCATTACTTATTTTCTCAGAAACTCTTTTGCTTTTAGAGGACACACGCCTAGTGTTTTCTCCCACCCTGTTCCTCACTTAAGTGTGCAGAGACCAGTACCATTAAAACCCCATGCTACTTACCATATGTTACCTTGAAGCAAAAAGGGTGAAAAAAATTTCCTTATAACTAATTATGCTAGTTAAAAGACTCACCACAAGTGGTGCTAGATTCGAGTAAATAAAAGCAAACCTTAAATATTTCCAGTATAATTTCATACCAAAGCTTTTTTAACAAACCAGGTATTTTACTCTGGGGAAAGAGAAAATGAACTGATGCCCAATAGTGGCAATCAGCTCTACTACAGTACTCAAGTACGGTGTTAGCTCACCTGCTGGGGAAAAATAAATGTTAAGAAACAAACAGGTAGTGCACATGAATGTGAATTTTCTGCATGACCGACTGATTAGAAGGACTAGACTGCTAAAGAAATAACTTCTAATTCCAGCTTTGCTTTGGTCTCCTGACCTGAAACAATCACCTGACCTTGAGCAAATATCACAGCCTCTTCGTATCTCAGTTATTCTACTGGTAAATGGGGATAAGAGTGTACTGTTCACTAGTTGTACATTAGTTAAAAGACTGAAGACTTGCAAACCACTATTTCCATCTTCCTGGGCAATTAAGCATGCTCAAAAATCTGCTAGATCAGATTCTTAGCTAGATTAGATCCTTACTGTGTTCTGAACCCTTCCTACAAACAGCACTGAACATGGAAGGTAAGGTCAAAGCAGAGGAAAAAGAAATTAGGTGAGGAAGGAGTTTATGAACAGGCAATAAGACACAACAGAGATTAGGTAAGAACCAATGTTATAACTGTCAAGGGGCCCCTTTGGAAACTTTAGGATCCCTGACTTCCTAAATTATTTTGCTTCCCTGACTCTCCTAAATTATTTTGCACTCCTGATTTGACTTTTCCTTATTGAAGCTGAGTTTGTTTCCTATTTCAGTCAAGCAACACTGCTCCTCATCATCTAACTTTTTTTGTGCCACATATAAATCTAATCAATAAGAGTACAGATATTTAGAAGTAGAATAGCATGCTTAGAATAGACCACAGCACCTGTAGTGTTTGCAATCCACATGCACTGCCCGGAGGAGCAAGATATCAGCCTAAGGCAGAGTTTTTTGTCTGAAAATACCATGCCAATTACATGCAAAATTGTACTGGCTGCTGAAGCCGTGACAATCTTTATTTTCAATTTCTCTGTATGTTGTCAGGTCACTCCATGAGCACAACAGTATTTACCAAAATGTTCCCCAAGGTAGACCATCCTTTAAAAGAAATCAGCTGTTTCAACAGATTTAAAGGCAATATCTCACTACCTGCCAATTAAACTTGACTTGACTCTCAGCTGAATTTTTCAGTGCAATTGTCTTAATCCTTCTTTGTGTCAGAATCTACCCTATTACATGCTTCCTCACTAGAAAAGGTGAAAAGAATAATCTGACTCAATATTTTCCTCTCTACTGAATTTTCTTTCACTGAGGGCTGGACTTCTATTCATAATGAGATGTCTTATCCTTTCTGGCAAAGTAAGTGGTAATTCTACATGTCTCTATCAAAAGACTTAACGTGTTGTTATGCCATCTCCTACAGACTCAAAATAATGGGCTAATATTGTGCTCAATGTTCTACCCTGTCAGATAAGTCTAGTTTATTCTGTAGGAAATGTTGCTAGTGTGTGTGCCATCATTCAGGTAAAAATACAGGTGGTTTTGCTAGTCTGACTTATTCTGCCCTACCTGACTGTAAGCAAACTAAACTACAAATAGCAAGCTTTTTTATAGTAAAAATTTTACAGCAAAAGCATCTATATTAAGTTGTTTCCTAGTACAGACATGTTACAAGACAAGCCCACACAAACCCCCTTACTGACGTAACTCTACAAGCAAAAAATCTAGTATATAGGGAGAAAGCAAATCTGTGTTTTTAAAGCTACTGAAAAAAGGCAGGAGCAAGAAAGACATTCTTACTCCATTTGCCAAATATCCACACTGGGATAATGTTAACCATTCTTATCTATTTGGTTTTTTACCTTGTAAAACAACTTCAGTTTCATTTATGATACGAAATTTAGTCATACCTGAAAAGTTGCAACTATGCCCATTCCAATACAGCCCATCAATCCAATACATAATGAAAACATGTTGCATGAAGACCTAACAAAGTGCGATGACTCATTTTGCTTCTCTATTAATAAATACCTGATGTACATTGTGATTACACCTGAAAAACAAAAAATACATATTTTGTTCAATGATCATGTGTTGCTTACATTTTAACACCTTGCCCTGTAACACATTAGCATACAGAGTAAAATTATAAGCATAATACAATACATAACACTGCCTTTAAGTTTGCTGAGATGAAGAAAGGCAGTGAATTTCAGATGTATTACTTTCAGATAGAACTGTCTTAACATGATCTTAGTCTTAACGTCGCACATTAATGCTTTCTAGAAATAACCACACATCACTTCAAGAAAAACACTAATTTAAATCCCATTCACCTGTGTGTTTTAGGCACAAAGGCACTGGTATTCCACATTAGGAATAGATGTTACAGGGAGATGAACCGTAAGCTGGAAGTGGGAGAATTTATTCTGCTCTGATATGCAGTCTTTTAACACAACTACATCTCCTTATAATGGATGCCCTGAAGAATTAATACATTTTTGCAGAGTGTAAACAGAAGAAAATATAACTAGCTGTGTATCCAGAAAATATTTTCAAAGCTTTTGGGCCAATTCTGGCTGCTCTTTAGTACAACAGCATCCCCAAACCACTACACACAGATTTTATTCCAGCCTATGTGACCCCAATATGCAGTTCACTCCTGACAAACATCTCTACTGAATTAGAAGTTTGTGGTTCATCAGGATATAGTAAGCTGTAGACTGGATTCCACAGTTCAATAACACAGAACATAGTTTCAATCTATCCACAGCTGGAAAAATAAATCAGCTAACTTTGTCCAGGCACTGTGAGGTTACATGAAACACAATAAGATAGTGTGACTGAATGAGGCTCTTAAAAAAAGGTAAAATTTGTGATTTTTTACTTTGCATGAAGGCCATCATGGACTACATGTATACAAAGGTACACAGCTCTTGATCCTCCATCCCCTAGAAGTGAATAGAAAATGCCAAACCTCCTGATTTGAGGCCAGTAGACATTTAGTAGAGGAGTAGGTATCTTGCAGAGGAAACCCAGTGTTGCTTCAACACTGTTCTTCCCTCTGCTGCAGCATCCTAGACCCTAATGTCTCCCTACATCAAGGATACAGTTTTTGCAAAGTAATTATGCCATCTTTCTTCCACTTTTTATTTCCAGCTGCATTGACTACTTTGCACTTATGAGGTGCTCTTAAGAGACAGAAGTGCCTCTAAGCCTGCACTTCCTGACCCTAAGGACCTGGCCCTCTAGGTATTACTTCCATCTACCTGATACTACCATTGACTGTGGAGTACTTTTTCTGTAGAATATTGTATGGACTGCAATGTAAGCAGACAGCTTTTGCTAGTTTTCATTTCTTCTCTGTGTTCAAACCAAGTACCTTATACATACCTAAAAGTGCTGAAATATTAATCATAAAACCAAAGATACCACTCTCTGGAGGTTTAGTTCCGGTGTCGCTAAAGCAGGAAGAGAAAGAAATTAAAAGTTAATTGAGATCTGTGAAACATAAATGAGATGTACACATGAAACCCCAAGAGAAATGTAACTTGTGTGAATTGCTGCTATGCGCGTAAGACATTTAAACCTATAAATTGGAATGTCATCTGCTGCACACTTAAGCTCCATTTGTAGTACTAAATCATTCTTTTCAGAAAGAAATCCTATTTTTAGAGCATACTATTTGAAATATATTTCTTCCTTTTCTGTATGTAATATGCAGAGATTTGACAGGGTGATACTTTGCTTATGAATGGCATAAATGATTACATAAATGACATTTCTTTTATCTGCTAAATTAACACTGAGATAGAGTAAAACATACCTAACGGCATTCAGTATCCTAAGATGTGAGACAATTGGGCTTAATTTCCTCATTTGTTAGAAAGGACTTTACTCCAGGAGAGCAACTGCATTCCAATGCCCAGGAACATTCCTAGCCACTGTTTAATTTACTATTGTAGATATAGCTTAAGAGTACTCTAGGCCCAAGGTGTTTAAGTCACTTCTGCTGAAGCAATTCACATTTATAGAGGCTAATTAGAAGTTCACTGGGACAGACAGGCGGAGCATGAGAATATCTACAGAATTTATATGCATACATACATGCATAGATATATATATATATGAAAAACATCATATATACAAAATATACGTTATGTAGAAAATGGAATACCTTCATCATAGAATCCTTTTCCCTCTTTTCCCTACATATGTGCAAACACCCACCCTGGAGAATGCCCTTTCCTCTCAGGAAGGACATACTCCTGGGGGTATGTGGGTTCAAGTTCCCTCAAGCATGACTCTTTTACACAAGGTGGGTGCTCTGTAAAAAGAAAGATACTGTGATGTTGTCACCGCTTTATGCTATTTTTTTTTGTCTAACACACAACCAGTTGATATCTATTTGATCAGGCTCTGTTGGTCAAGCCAATGGAAAACATGTAGTTCATAAATCTTTACATAATTTGGGTGTGAGCTGAGTTTTCAGCTACTCAGCAGTACCAAGAGGCACAATTGCGTATGTAAACAGAGGCACCCGAGGAACTCTACTGTCAGAAATGTAAACATGTAAGGATTTTAGCTAATGCCAAAGTTCAGTGGAAACTCAGCAAAGATTCTGAGAACAAAACTTTCTCTTAGGTGTATGATGGGACAAGTAGGTACTAGCGAGAGCGTTTTTTTATGTGATTCAAGAAGATGAATACTCTTCATTCCAACAGTGAGGCTGGATTAGTTTTCAGTGCTAAACTTCTGAACCTACCACTGAGTGCAGCGAAAATGACAGGTGCTCAGCACGAATGCCTGTGCTATTAACACCCAAAAGGGAAAGCACTCTCTACATAAGTAATCATTCTTAAAGTTTTTGACAGTTTTGCTAAGTTCAAGCTAGAAGAGTATCACCATATCAAAAGACTTAATCTTTCAGAAATTAATATTTACTCTCACACCCCTTCTTGTTACAGAAGAATTTGTGCAATCAGTTGCTAAGATGATTTATCAAGAACAGGAGGAAGCTTAGGGTGAAGGGAGAATCCTTTTCTATGAAAAGCTGATGCAAAAAATAGAGAAAAATCTTGTATTTCTTTTGACTGGTTCCAAATTCTCAGACAGCAAAAGCTTGGATCAGGCTTTTAGACAAGTTTTTACAACTTCTCAGGCATTAAGAATCCCTATTCATCTGTATCTTCTTTTTGTAATGCTTTCTGAAGACTTGTTCCATCTTGTACTCTGTTTTTCTTTGATAGTGGAATTGATGAAAATGGTACAGTAACTCTCGTTTTTTTTGTTTGACACTTCTGAAAATCATCTAAATCCATGCTTCATTTATCCCATGTTTTAACCTTGAACTTCACATCTTTTCCTCATGTTTCTGGAGTGTTTTCATTAATACAATAAAGGACTCCATTTAAAAAGTTGGCCACTTATGACAATCTTGAAGAACTTTTGCAAACGAGAAGCTGCTCTATGCTAAGTACAGGACTGTGATCACTTCAAAGCTTTTGAAGGACTTTAGGTGAGAAGAGAACGGAATCGGCACATGCAAAGAAAGCCATTTGAAGTTCTTGGAACACTTCACATCATAAGAGCAATCCAAATAACCTGAAATTGCACTGAACTTCATTCATTTTTTAATTAAAGCTTTTCTCAAGCTAAAGCTTTATAGGTGAGTTTTGCTATTGTTGATTTTTAAACTAAATAATCTTGGATGTATGCTTTCAAGAAATTTCACACCAAGAGTACTATATCATATCTACAATGTATTTACAAAGTACTGCATGGACTTTTAAGGACATAATCTTTTTAATGCCATATTTAGCACTAAAAATCCTTGAAGCTAAATGAAGACTTAAGTACATTTTTGTTTTACTTCTGGTCTGCTGCTTTGGAAAAAGAAAAAAAAGTATTTGTGACAGTTACTTTCTTTTCATGAAAAAGAAAAAAGCAAATGGTACATATGAAAAGAAGACATGTGCTCACTTATTTGAAGTGGTGCACAGGGGAGCACAACCACCATGGAAAAGACAAGGAACCCTGTATGAAAATGACAGCATTTGTGTCACCATCTCATGCAGTAGAATTCTACAAACAGTCTAACAGTCTTCAGAAGAGTGGAAAGAGAAGGTAGTGGAGACAGGGAATAAATATTTTAGGGGCAAAAGACTCATCATCATCAAATTTTCTTCATAGCCATCATAAACTATTTATCTCCAAACTGAAGTCCCAAATTTTTAAAGCAGGAAGATTATATTCAGCCTACAGGAATTCTGATTGATCCAGAGGTACTAACTAGCAGCAAATACCTTAAGGAAAATTCTCTTTACTCTTTCACTGAGAATTCAAACCACCAAACAGCCACCCCAGCACATCCAAATTAGTTTGGATTTTGAGTAGTATGAGCAAAAGAACTAATTTGGGCACAACCTTATCATCTTTTAGGCCTCAGCTGCTAGAAAACACAAAATCATATTCATTTTTATCTACCCAGAAATGTATTCATATGGTTTACTTGATGAGACATTAGCACAGTTTCAATGACAAATTTAGATGTGGTTTTTCTCTCACTGTGACAGCTGTTACATGGTAAACAAATAAAATAATTTACAAGTTACCTCAAGGCATACACAGGGTACTTGAGGAATATAAATAAGACTTACAAAAATGTTAAACTAAAATTTGTCAATATTTTTCTCCTTCATGTAACTGAAATTTCCTGATACAAGCTCTATTTAATTTTTATTGCTTATTTTAAGATATTGCACAACTGAAAAGTTGCAACATTCTTCCTCTTTCTTTTTTATCACTCCAAGTTTCACTTGATCACATTCTTAATCCCATGATTCAGCTTCTTAGGCTAAAGCAATGACCTGCAAAATAAGAATAGGAACTATGGTATGACTATTGGCCTGAGTACTTAGAAGGAATCATCATATTACTCCCAAGTGCACCTTCTACAAAGACGATATGCTTAGACCATATACCATTAGAATTATTACAGACTGTTCACCAACAGTCAATGTACATCCTTAGTCCAAATGTTGTGTTAAAAGGATGTAAACTAAAAAAGACATCTGTCTTTTAAAAAACTTTACTAGCAAATGTAGAGGGCCTGAAATGTAAGCAGGTTCATTTTGGTTTTTTTAATCCCTGACACAGCCTCATATGTCTTGGGGTTTTTTAGGGTATGTGGACATTTCTTGTGATTCTTTAGTTAAAGGATAAGAATGATTTTTTCAGTGAGATGTTCAGTTAGATTGAGATAACTATGGCAGCTGCGATACATTCATCAGAGTTATACAGCTGTGACTTGTACGTTTGGTCTTTTTAAAAAGAATGACACTTACGATTGTGATATCTGGGCTGTCAAAAATTTGACTGCAAACACAATAATACAGAAAAAAAACCATCCTGTTCTCTCATCTATTTTATTTAAGGACATGGCTTCAACATAAGAAACAACATTTGTCAAATTTCTTCCTAAAGGACCTCAAAATCCTTCTGAGCACAAACCATGTACTGAGTGTGGACCCAGTTATATCAAATGGTTTATTTTTCTTAGTTAATAATGGATAAATTGCACTGGTTACAAGCGCTTTTGTGTCAGTAAAACTGTGTATGTAATCAAGGAAGAGCATGAGTATAACCACAATTGTTAAGGCAGTAGGGCATTTGTGCCTATACAAGAACAAGGCTTTACAAGAGCCGAGTCCAGATTTGGGCAGATAATCTTAAAAAGTTTTGCTAACATAAGCATGAAGCCCAACTTTCTTTGGCTCAATTTGAATGAAGCTCAACATTCTTGTGGCTTGCAGTGTCATTTGCACCATCTCACTTGCTTATGATGACAGACCTTAATTTTCAATCAAATTTATGTGTATGTACAAATTGGGTTAGCAGTCTTCGGAAATTATGCACGTCCATGAAGACCTTCAAGAAATTAGGTCTAGATGTATCTTGAAAGATGTATTTGAAAATCTTTTTTAGATCTTTTATGTATCAGAGACCACTCTTGGATTTCTGGATTACCTTTAATCTATTAAGAGCTAAATACTAGTAATTTCACAGCTCAGATTTAAATGTTCACATAAGCAATGTATAAACAATGATTTATACAGAATTACACTTAAATGACTAAGGTTATAGAAAAGTGATGCCAGTCATCTCTCGGGGAGCCTTTTGCACTCATTGTTCCTATGCTGAAATTTTAAAAATACATGTTTGTAGAGGTGTGTGTCCTACAAAAGCTATTGTAGGGCTTCGAGTCCTGTCACCATCTGGTGCACTTTGGCCCAGTTCTGGAGTTACACAAACAAAACTGCATTTCCACTCCTTACTCCCTAAGTTTTGCTAGCATCGGGCCTGCGGCACACTTCGGCTCCAGCAGAAAACTGTTTCGGATCCTTTCTACCACGTCCGCCAGCGTTTGGGTCCTGCGGCTTCTCAGAGAGGCCTGGGTGCTAGAGGTGTGGTGGGTGACAGGAGCGCCCAGCGGGTCCCCGCTCTGCCTCCCCTCACGGCGGGGGGGGGCCCTCTCACCGTCGCCTCTCCTCCTCCGGTGAACCCCACACCCGGCCCCAGCCGCGGGGGGAAGGAGCCGCGGAGCCGGCGGCGAGGGAGCCCCTCAGAACCCCCGGGCTAAGCCGCCGCCTCACAGCCCGGGCGTCACCCCCCGCCCGCGCCCCGCCGGCACCTCAGCCGCTTCCCGCCGCTTCCCGCCTCACCTGATGTAGGGGACGAGGGGCTCGACGTGCCCCGCCAGCACGGCGATCGCATAGGAGATGATGAAGGCGGCCGAGGACCAGCTGACGAGCAAAGCGGGGACGAAAGCCACGCCGGGCATGTAGCACAGCATCGCCGGCGGCTGCCCTGCCCGAGGCATCAGCGGTTGGGGCGGGAGTGCCCGGCCGGGCTCCGTGGCGGCGACCTGATGTCGCGGACCGTGACTGAAGACTTGCGGGACGCGCACACACCCCCCCCCCGCGGCCGGTGTCCACCCGCCCGCCCCACGCGTGTCTGTCTGCCCCCCGCCAGGCAGC